GGTCGTAGGAACAGCGGGAGGATTCGGTGTCGGATTGCCTTCGAGCTTTTCGGCTGGTCGGCGGCGGAATCTCTCGTTTCGGTGTTCGCTTGCCCTTTTATATTATTGCTGCCGATTTTGGCGGCGCTGAAATCGGCGGCGCGTGGCGGGGTGGTGCGCTTGCGCCCCTTGTCGCGGTACGGAGTACGCCGGGTGGACGGCTTCGGCCGTTTCCGCGGGGTTTCGGCGCGTGTCGTCTCGGCGAGCGTTCGCGGCTCGTCGCACGGCCGGTGCGGGGCGATTATGCGGCGGGCGCGAGGCGCCCGCCCTTCGCCGTTTGATCAGCGGCATCCGGCGGTCTTAGCCGGGGAACGATGCGGCTCCGGGGTGCATCGTTACATCACCCCCCCATTTGCTAAGGCCTGCATTTAGAGGCCTATTGTGGTACGATCTCTCGGACCGAGCGCGGCTTCCCGTTTCCGTTGAAGCGGATGACCCAGCGCCGGTTTCCGAGGCGGGCCTTGTATCGGCGGCTGACGTGGGCCGCGAAGTGCGGCACGTCCACTGTCACTCCCGTCTCCACTTCCACGGGGATGGGCGGCGGCGGCAGAGGCCCCTCCGGTCGTGCCGGCTGGAGGGTCGGTCGCGGTGCAGCGGGCGTTGGTGCTGGCCGAGGTGGTAGCGGCGGCGGAACCGACAGGAGCCAGGCTCGCTTCCTCTCGTTGGTGGCGTCCGACCTCTGTATCACCGTCCCGACTCGCGGGACGGCTCGCTGCGTCGTGGGCCGGGCTGGTGGCGGCTCGGCTTCGGGATCGGCTCGGTACAGGCGGACCCACTGGTCCCCGATAGCGGGGGCGGCCGGGTCGTACGGCTCCGTGTCCCGTAGCAGGGCGTCGATTTCGGCTAGCACGTCGTGTTCGGTCGTCATCTCGGACTCGAGTGCCGTCTCGCCCCGAGTTCGTTCGTGGCTTTGCTTATGCGGCGTTGTTTTCCTCGCCGTCCTCGTTGCCCGAGTTGTTGTTGGCGGGTGCCGCTTTCAAATCCCGCACGTGGATGTGTCGGTACCATTTTCCGTGTGTACTGCGCAGGTCCACAATGACTGGGGATACGATTCGCCGTACTTCCAACGGCCCGGTGAACTTCGGCGCCAGTTTTGCGTTAAAGGCGCCGCTTTTGTTGGATAAGGGGTGCTCCCGTTTCCATACCCGCTCGCCAATCTTCGGCCGCCAATCTCGGTGACGCAGGTTGTAATGCCGTTCCTGTCGCTGGAAGGCGCGGGCGAGATTTATGCGCACGAGCTCGTACGCGTCCTCCAGCCGGCGTCGGAGCGCGGACGGCGGGATGGCACGGTCGCGGTTCTGTTCGGTAGCCGTGCGCAGCTCACGGCCATGATTCAGATACGCGGGGGTATACCCCGTCGCGTCGTGTTTGGCCGTGTTAAAGGCGAATTGCAACTCGCCGAGGTGCTCGTCCCAGGTTTGGTGTCGTCGGTTTACGAACTGGGCGATCATCGTCTTCACGGTTCGGTTTGTTCGCTCCACCGGATTACAATGCGGCGCGTACGGCGGCGTGAACCGGTGTCGTATCCCGAGGTCGCGTAGTATGTTCGTGAGGGCCGCGGATCGGAGCTGGGTCCCGTTGTCGGACAGGACTTCTTCCGGGCACCCGTGTCGTAATATAATTGCCTCCGTAAGGCCGCGGATTACATTGGTGGTCGTAGCCCGGCGGAGCGCGCGCATCTCCACCCACTTGGTGAAGCGATCCTGCATGTTTAGCAGCCACACGTGTCCTGCTTTGGAACGCGGCAGGGGCCCGACGAGATCGATCGCGACTTGCTGCCAGGGGCGGTCGACGTTGGTGCTGCGGAGGGTCCCCGGCGTTCCGGCCTGGGAGGGCTTGTGCGCGAGGCAGTTTGCGCAATTTTGGACGTACCGCGATATCTCCCGGAACATGCCCGGCCAGTAATATAGGCGCGCGATCCGCGCGATCGTTTTCGCGGTGCCGAGATGTCCGGCCGTTGGGGCGTCGTGGTAGCGCGCGAGAATTTCCCCCCGCTTTTCTTTCGGGATGCACTCCTTCCACTGCCCCTCCGGGGTTGTCTCCTCGAAATCGAGGGACTGGAGGATGTGGCGGTACAAGCGGCCGGCGGTAATTCGGAAGTCGGGGGCCCCCTGCGGGGCCTCGGTCACGGTCTGCCACATTCGGCGGTACCAGGCGCATCGTACGGGCGACGCGCTGCAGGCCATCGGTTGGCGGGAGAGCGCGTCAGCCACTCGATTCAGCGCTCCCTTTCGGTACTTGATTTCGAAGTCGAATTGTTGCAATTCGAACGCCCAGCGCCCGAGGCGTCCCGCAGGAGACTCCAGTTTCTGGAGCCAGCGGAGGGACTGATGGTCGGTGATTACCTGGAAGTGGTATCCTTCCAGGTAACCCCGCATCCGTCGGATGCCCCATAGGACGGCCAGGCATTCCAGCTCGGTGGCGCTGTAGTTTTTTTCGGCGGGATTCAGGGTGCGGCTCGCGTACGCGATGACGCGTTCCCCCTCCGGAAAGTATTGCGTGAGCACGGCCCCGAGGCCGGTGTTGCTCGCGTCGGTTTGCAACATGAGTGAGCGGTTATAGTCCGGGCACGCTAGGACGGGGGCGGACGTGAGGCTTGTTTTTAGGGCCTCGAAGGCGCCTTGTTCCTCGTGGCCCCAGTTCCATTTGGCGTTCTTCCGGGTTAGCGCGGTGAGGGGGGTGGCTACGGTCGCGAAGTCGCGGACGAATCGTCGGTACCACGAAGCGACCCCGAGGAACTGTCGTATTTGTCGGACGGTCCGGGGGGTGGGCCACGCCGCGATAGCCGCGACCTTCTCGGGGTCCGTGCGGAGTCCGTCTCCGTCAACCACGTGCCCCAGGTATTTTAGGCGGTTAACGCAGAACCGGCATTTTTCTGGGTTCAGGCGGAGGCGCGCATCGCGTAGCCGGCGGAACACCTCGCGGAGGGTTTGGAGGTGCCCCTCGAAGGTCGGACTACAGACGATAATGTCGTCTAAATAGACAAACACGTGAGGCTCCAGGTCCACGCCCAGTACGGAGTCCACCAGCCGCTGGAACGTGGCCGGGGCGGAGTGCAGCCCGAAAGGCATCACGCGGAACTGCATGAGGCCCCTCCCGGGCACGGTAAACGCGGTAATGGGTCGGCTGGCGGGATCGAGCGGGACCTGCCAGTAGCCGTTCCGGAGGTCCAACGTGGACAAGTACCGGGCTCCCCGTAACTTATCAAGCGTGGCGTCGATCTGGGGTAAGGGGTACGCGTCGCGTTCCGTGACCTCGTTAACCCGCCGGAAATCGATGCAAAACCGCGGTTT